GTGTGTGTGTGTGTGTGTGTGTGTGTGTGTGTGTGTGTGTGTGTGTGAGTGAGAGTGTGTGTTTGTGAGTGTGGGAATTAACTATAATGGAACATGAAGGAGATTTTCGGTTTCCTCATATGACAAAGTCAATAAGCCTTTTAGTGACCACGTTCTTAATATATATAAATCATTAATTCATTCGTTCATGCATTTCAATTACCCGCATGTTACGACAATAGTGGTTAAAATTGAATTTTTTTTTTAAATTGATAAAACTTTAATTGCCGCCAAAATAGAATAAAACAATAAATAGGCGAAATAAAAAAAAACTAATATAGACACAGATTAGTTTTTTTTCATAATACCAAGTGACGGGACGAAGAAGTCGTGCTCCTGGTGTACACGCCTATCCATAACAGTTGCAGTGCCACTCAGAACTTTTTTTTATAATATCAAGTGATGGGACGAACAAGTCGTGCGCCTGATGGTAAGCTACACACCTGTCCATAACAGTTGCAGTGCCACTCAGAGTTTTAAATCACAAAGATCTGACGTGCACTGCCACTGAGCCCGTCACCCTGAAACATAAGCTAAGCATAAGGATAAATAAGCCTTCTAAACCGGAAAGCGGTAATGCTCACATTATTTTAGTAGCAGTACAGCTTCTTGTGAAAGAGCTCGTCCAGGGAAGTACTGCCACCTTACCTATTTCTACCGCCAAGCAGTAATGATTACATTACTGTGTTCCGGTTGTGAAGGGTAAGGGTGCTGGTGAAATTACAGGCACATGGGACTTCTTAACTTACGTCTCAGGGTGACGGGCCCCCAGATATTTATGATTTAAAGCTCTGAGTAACACTGCAACTGTTATGGGCAGGCGTGTGGCTTACTACCAGGCGCACGACTTGTTCGTCCCGTCATTTAGTATTATAAAAAAAAATATTGCTTGGCGGCAGAAATAGGTAAGGTGGCAGTACTTTCCTGGACACAAGGATCTCTACTGCTACTAAAAAAAGTTTACAGTATGCAGGTAAGCAAATTATTTTAATAACTAACTTTCTCGTTATTTCAATTCTTGCTTAAGTGACTCCAATTCCCGTTTCTATCCTAAGACTTTCGTGGTTAATCACTAAATTACAATCACGTGATATGATTTTCAGTCAGCGCAACGCGTTGCAACGTGAATTGAGTTAACTCTTGAGCTGTCCGCGTCGTAGCTCCGTGGGGATAAAACTTCACAATGACAAATGTTGGGCCTCACCAAGTATAGTGTGGAGTGGAGTGGAGTGGAGTGGAGTGGAGTAGTATAGAATACGTTTATTAGCCAGAATACAGTATTTATACAGATCTTGAGTAAATCAGGTCCATTGTATTCAACCTGCACACCTGTGCAAATGTTAAAGGTATTTCCCATTTGTCTCTACTATTACAAATCAATTTGCATGTCGAATTAATATCAATTGATATTTGTAACTACTTACGACATATTCTCTATTACTTTAAAATCAATGTGTCAAAAGCCATTTTGTCAATTGTGATTTAAAAGTAAGTCCTTGTGGTGATTTAATTACATTAGATAAATTATTAAGAAATTCTTATGACTATATTGAAGCAGTTATTCTTATAAACGAGGTTGTGTCAATTTCTTTTCATTTTAAATAATCTTTGATATCACATATAGGTACAGAGGTCACATAACAAGTCAAATAATTTCTTTATAAATATGTTTAAGGGTAAGTCTGCGATCGCTTTTTGCGATTATAACTATGTCCTTATGGACATATTATAGCAATTCCAAGCTTTCTAGAAAAGCAAGTAGTGTTATGGAAGGGGTCAGCCTATCGGTTGGAATGTCGAGTTAAAAGAGTATAGGTAGGTACCTTCAGTGTACACCGGCAAGCAGCATAAACCAGCAAGCCATTAACAGCGACGCAGCTTCCAGAGATCATCCAGAAGCGCGACAGCATCGACACCCGCTCCCAGTGCGGGCTGCGTAGAAACCACGACAACAGACGCAGGCCACTTGTGTAGTGGAGTTTCATGCAATACGCTTGGAGTAGGATCAGTCCGTACAGGAGGAGAACGCACCCCTAACAAACACAGACATCAGACAAACTTTGAAAGCATTGTTCTAATAACCGAATCCATAATCATTGGTTTTTAACCGACTTCAAAAAAAGGAGGAGATTCTCAGTTCGACTGTATGTTTTTTTTGTATGTATGTTACGCGATACCTCCGGTATTTGTGAACCGTTTTTCATGATTCTTTTTTGTTGGAGAGAGGGTACCTCCATAGTGGTCACATTTAATTTTGAAGAAAATCATCCACCTCTAAAAGTGGCTGTTCACGCATGAAGATTCATTTTTATAAATAGCACCTAAATTTGATTATAAGGAGCATTGGTAATAGTAATTTTAATGTTTGATTTTGCTATTCTCTAATTCAAGGCGTTTTTCTCTCTCAATATACTTTGAGTAGTGAGAACCGATTTTTATTTTCTCCTGTGTCAAGTTCCGTATAGTGGCGAACTGGGGGATGAATTCGGGTGTGCGCAATTTCCGGTAACCGATTTTAAAAAATGGCAAATAGATGTAATTCCACGTATTCTTGAGGTCGGTTTTTTTAGTACTGTGTACTGAGATTATCAGATCTGAGTTTGCAATGGAAACACATTTCAATTCCGTTTAAAATCCATGTTAGACTCCACAGACCACATAAATTTATTTCTTCCGAGTTAGACTCAAAGAACTAAAACACTCATTGAACGAAAATAACGCCCACAACACTTTCTCTTTAAAATGTCCATAGCACGTTATCCGCGTTATAGCACTTATTAAAATAGCCAAAACGCGTTGTGATTAACTCAAAATACCATAATACAAAATTCAAGTCGTGGCTCTCACAGTATTTGACCATTATGGTGCGTACAGATCTGACGAATGTGCCGCGAAAGTAGGTACTGCATGTGCGCTGCACGCGTGCTGCATGCGTACAGTTAAATGCGCCTCTGTACGCACTCTTACGCGTTGTGGTTATGATGTAACTTTACAACAAGGGCTATGTAAATACCCGTCGAGTATGTAACGTTCTGGCTATTTTATTAGGTGCCAACAGACCACAACGCGTTGTGGACGTTTTATTGCAATCTAAAAAGCGTCTACCTATGTTTTATTATAAACACTGAAAATTAACGCTGACGAATGGTAAAACAGAAAATCCGCTAATATTTTCCGCTGATACAGCGTAAATATACCTACTGTAGGTACTCTTGGTAACAAGCAACAATAATAATCAAAAACACATGTTTAATTTGGTTTTCCACTACACTAATAACTAGAATTAAGACTTGCTATAGAGAATATGTTTTCATGAGTAGTTTCAAGATAGATACGGTAGTGAGGCGAATGAAAACTTAATAACATTTTTACTTTTTCAATCGCTTTGTATTGTAGGTACTACTTACTACATACATACTACCTAAATGATTTAGACAAGCTGAAAGCCCGATCACCTGCGGCGATCAGCTGCCACTACTGTCATGGTGTGCTCACGTGTCCCCTATGCGCACCTGGTCTTTAATAATAAGATTATCTACGTGAGAACACACGTGCGCCACCAACAGGGATATTGGAAGTAGCCGAATACGGTCAGGAGGCTAAGGGAGGACATTGAAAAAGCTACGTCGATGTGGAATGTACGCAAGATTCAAACTTCTTTACAATCACAATTTACTCCTACAGCTGTAGTTATATTCACGCTCGCGCATGCACTTACATGTCAAACAGGGCGTTTTAGATACACTGTTTACATTTTACTATGCATATTACTATTGTCAATGTATAACTTTAGGTACGCATAGTTGGTAGGTCAATGCATAGTCGTTTTATTTTTGCTTTCAAATAACTTAATCCCTCTCGTTGGTCCTGACTGAAAATCAGCGCCTCAGGAAACTTTGGCATATGCTGAGGCAGCGCTGTTTCACTGCTATGACAATTATGTCATATCTTTTCTTTAATGCTTAATCTATATTTTTGTTATAACAGTGTTTATCTATCTATTTCTCAAGACATTTTCTGTACAATTTTCGAAGACAAATGCGAGTGAAAACAAACTTACCTTATGTATATTTCTTAGAAGCAGCAAGACCTTCATAGAAGTATTGTAGCAGAAGATGACCATACACAGTGATACAATCAGCTGTGCAATCAGCAGCGCTCGAAGGACACCTGCCACTCTTTGTCTGCCGTCTTTAGTGAACGTGAACACTCCCCAAGCCATGGGACGACATGGTGTGCAACCATACTAGCTGCCCCTTTTAAATAAGTCAAAATTAGCAGTCGAGCTCCATGAGAAAGAATTCGCCCAGTGAGGCATACTGTCACCCTTAGAATAATAACGCATAGAATGATAGTTTTATATCAAACGAACTGTCATAAGTGAGGCAAAAATCAAATTCGTGTAGGCTAATTTTAGTAGTAGGTTAATTTTCGGTTTTAGTGAATATTTATATAAAAATACAAGTTGAAACGCGTTACTTCCTTGTGGAATGTGATGTTAGTATCTATTTTATGTTTGTCTGACGTATTTTTACACTCATTTACCGCACATTTCGTCATTTTTAGCTAAAATTCTTGAGCTGTTCGCGGTGCAAGTTGACCTTGAGCACTGAAGGCCCGCCCGCTCGTGTAGGCCCTTTTGGCGCGCTTCAATTTGCCTCACTTAGCGTGTGCGGACTAGGTTTCTATGCGTTATTATTGTAAGCTGTCACCATACCTATCTCTACCGTCAAGCAGTAATAATGAGCACTGATTAGCAAGGTGACACCAAAAGCACATGAAACTTGTCAACTTTTTGTCTTAAGGTGACGGGCGCAGGGTGACTACCCCTCAGGTCTTTGTGGCACTGCAATATTGTGTCGCTTACCATCAGGCGCACGACAGTCTCGTCCTGTCACTCGATACTCCCACGTAAGTTGTTGTACACATAAACTATTATAATAATAATATCCTTTATATGTATTATAGGTATGTAAAAGGTTTATATTATTAACTATTAAAAAAATAAGTGCGCATTTGACCTCCATCTCACCTGGTGGAAAGTGACAATATAAATGTGGAAGCGAAACGCATCTTACGAATCCTTGGAATATCCATAACATAGGGGTCGAAAACCCAGTCTACGTCTAGTCCCTCGATCTTGGAAACAGGAAGGCGGAATTAAATCGTGCCATGGTCCATAAAATAAACACCTTTTCAATTTAGGTATCACAGACAGCCATCTATGCAGAGTGGCCAACTACAGGGCAAAGTACCTTGGAGTGCCAAGGTCGCTACCCAAAGTCTTCATTTTTTGATTGATTGATTTTAGTAGCAGTAGAGTGAGTACCTTGTGAAAGAATTTGTCCTGTGAAATACTGCCTTACCTATTTCTGCCGCCAAGCAGTTCCGGTTTAGAACGGTAAGGGTGCGTGAAATTACAGGCACGTGGGACTTGTCAACAGTGCTCTTAAGAGCTTTGTGATTTAAGCTCTGAGTGGCACTGCAACTGTTATGGATACGCGTGTCGCTTACCACCAGGTGCACGACTTCTTCGTTCTGTCACATGATATTATACAAAAAATAGGAGTATGCTGCGTGAGATTCTGGAGGAGCTTCGGTGGCAGGAATAAGACCCACCATACGCAAAATAGGCACCTGGACGTTGAGTTACGGACACCCATCACACCATACTATACCATTGTGCCATTACTAAAGTAGATAGATAGTTAGATAGAAAGAAAATTCTTTATTGTCAGCGCCACATACACAGAGAGATTAAAGGACAAAAATTAAACACATTAGCAGGGTAACAATTGGCGGTCTTATCGCTTGCAACGATTTCTTCCAGACAATCTTAGGATGGAGAGAGACTAAACATGAATAAAAGCGGGGGTGCTAGATATAAACATTTAGCGCCCAGTAAAACAAGGAGAAAGTTTTGGCGCGGCCGCCGCGCGACGACCGCCCAGTTACCACGCCTTCGCATACATTTAATGGCGAATCTGAATTCTATTTATTATGCAACAACATTTAAATTCCTCTCAATAAAATTACTGCGCGGCCGTAATAAAAAAAAGTTCCGCCGTGCAATAGTGAGGTACGTTTTTGTAAGCACCAAAATAGGGTATTTAGGGTAGTAGGTGCGTAGGGTAGTGGTCTAGACGTGGCATTTCACTAGCATTAAGTAATTTTGTATTGTACTAACCATAGCACGTAAGAAAAATTTACTGTATTACTAACATTACTATGGATCATGGTCCGAAAGAAATGATTCTATTCTATTCTATTCTAAAATTATAGTTCCAACAACATTCCAGACATTAGGTACAAGCACATTTTGAAGTCTCAATTTTGCTTTAAACGGTAAAGGCATACATCGTGAGGCAACTTGGACGTCAGCATTATGTCCCCATCAACATAGACTTAGAGCCTATGTGACTATTGCGTATACGTGCAGATGACGCCCTTTTAAGGCGCCACTGAATTTGTTTAGTGTGCAAAGGATTACTCGCTACGATTATATCGCGTTTGAATTGCGTTTACGCGCGTCATTTGCGCGTCGTCGGCGCGTATAAAATACGCTGTGTGCATGTGTGCATGGGCTCTCAACCTTTATTTATAATTTAGTTTTTGACGCTATCGATATGAAATGGTAAAATAAATTTAAAGAAACTGTTTATTTTTTATTTGAATTCCATATTCTTTGGCAGAATGAATTACAACTTTGTCCATAGTGAAATGCCTTCGTGAAAATTAACAATATTTACCTGTTGTTTTTAAATATTTTCATTGATATTCTTGTAAATAAAGGTATCTATGCTTCAGCTTGTTTCGACTGTGACACTATGTCACATTGACAACGTAATAATACCATGTGATTTCTTTTAATATAGTTTAAATCTTAGACTATGGAAACTATAACTAACTAAGTATAACTTTCTTTTATTTTTTTTCAGTCCTCTAAGGTTTGTGTCGTGGTGGCGATTTCGCCAATGTCCTGTGAGAATTATTCGCTTATTTCTCATTCACGCTTCAGTCTTCGTTTGTTCGACTGACAGTGAAGCAAGCAAAATTAGACAGTACTGCGATGACATTACAATTTAAATTCAACGTTTTTGCTTTTTCATATTCCTTTACATGTCACTACGTTTAAATAGGTTGACGTGGGATATTTTTTTCGTGGTTTTTGTATTACACCCGTCGTCCATTTATTTGTAAGTCAATGATATTTTCCCATTATTAAGGTACAAATTTGTGTTTTGCAAATATGGAATAGCGCAAACGCCGACCAAACTGTGATCCCGGCGCACTAATGCGAGTGTCGTCGCCAGGCGGTGTAGTTGAAAAACAGACCTCAGAAACCTTAGAGGATGGGAAAAAAAGTCTAAATGACCTCCGCAAACGTTCCCAGTTGCTTGCGTGGAAATATCAAACATGCTAGGTACCTATCAAACGCACGCAACGCAAAGAAATCCAAAGCAAAGCAAGGGGCCGGCGCAAGCGAGCGACTCGTGAACAGTCCTACCAGATCACAGCAGAACAAGACAGATCATTCACTTGCGTTTTTCGGTTGCTTGCATTGGCTGGATCACGGCGTAAAAATTTGCCTTCCGCGCAAAGGCGTTCACGGGTCTTTCACTTTGCGTTGCAGGGAGATTTTTTCTATCCTCTAAGGTGCTCTAAGCATGTGCCTGTTACCTTCTTAGACTATGGAAGAAAAGGAAATGTTATACAAAAACACTGTTTAGTACTTAGACTATAGAAACTATTTTTTTTCCATCCTTAAAGGTTTCGTAACCTCGGCAACGTTTGATCAATGAAATCTTTGCTACAAACTCTACCAACAAGATCCCATTCGGTATATTAAAAGAGTTTGATAAAATAAATTCCCCATTTTTGTTTTTGACATTTTATACGCGTAATTTTTCAAAAAGGCGGGACTTTTTCAAAATTCGACTGACGTTCCGTCATTCTATTGTTTTCCGCTTGCCGGAAAGCATGGATTTGTCAAAGTAATAAAAAATATTTTTGTCTTCTGTAGGTTCCGGTGTAAAATTAAGCTAATTGCGGATAACATAGATAATTAGTGAAGCCATTATGGCTGAACAACCTGTTAAGCGGCCTAAAGTGGCTTGGAGCGATGACCTTAGCCATGATTCGGCTGAAGAAAGAGGTGAGGTTTAATTTCTTTGAATTTTGAAACTCCTTGCTAGTTATAGTTTTAGTGGTAAACAAAAAAGGAGTACTACTTGATTGATTGTGTTTTGTTATATTGTAATAATAACTATTTCGACCTTAAAGGTTGAAATTGGTTTACGGAAAAGGGGTGTGATCCAATAAACTTACCACCCTTAGAGGTGAATTAGTTTCAAATAAAAAAGAATCATCGAAATCGGTTCACAATGTCGGAGTAGGTCATCGCGTAACATACACACAACAACAAAAAATTGCAGTCGAAATCGAAAGTGGTTCTCAACCTCGTCCTTTCTTTGAAATCGGTTAAAAGTTAAAAATATAGATAATTCCTAATGTTCATAGGATGCTAGTACAGGTGTACCTATAAGCACATAACATATTTTACGTCAATTTTGAGTTTACGTTTAGTTAGTGGACATCTTATGTCTAGATCAATACACTTAAAATAACGTCTTTTAATATTGATAACACCTTTTTAGAGAGAGAGCGTCTGGCAGAACTAGCTAGACTAGCAGCTTTAGCCCCAAAGAAACCTGTGTATGAAGAGGAAGAATTCCAAAAACTCGTGACTTACATTATGAAAATAACCACCCTCTACGACTTGAGGCAGGAAGACTGGAAAGAAGATGCTATACAGGGCATAGAAGATTGGCTACTAGAGCCTAGAGATTTAATTTTATGCATTTATTTTAAAGGAACACAACTAAAGGCTACCAGTGAAGTTCCACTTACTCCAGTTTATGATTTGATGTATTTTATAAGGCCACCAGATTTTGTATTCAAGGCAGAAACGTTTCATGAAGATATAACATTTGGAACATTTGTAGATTCTGTAGAAGCTAACTTGATACAAGTTCTAGAAATGGTTTATGCGCCTTATTTTTTCGCTATTACAACATGGCCAGATAGTAAGTTTTTTAGTTATAGTAACAAACATTGAACAAGAATGCTATACCGTGTTCATTAACTATGAGCTTTTTAGGTGTCGTAGGTTAATACGCTTTAGCTTAGAATTTCCTGCAATTTCAGGTGTAAAAAGTGAATTTTGTACCCAACTTCATACATTCTTAGCGAAACTAACGGACATGTACTACAAAATGCTGGGTCTTACTGTACTATACATACCTCGAGAAGGTCAACAAATTTCTTATGAGATGGCGAGCAACGACCGGGAGTTAGTGAAGAGGCTCGAAGGCGTTGTGGTATACTGGACCCATCAGATGAAGTCTTGTATTGAAGACCAATCTTCCGTTTCATCGCAGAAAGAGCTCTTGTGCCCTAGCGATGAATTGGACTTTTGGATATATAGACGTAAGTCTACAGTTGACTTAGATGTTTCGTTTGGTTAGAAATCGTGAACATATAAACATACATACATATCCAATTAGTCGAATACAGAGAACGTGAAAATTAATGTCAGCATTAAAATTAAACCTAGTTGTATCAGGTAATCATAGACGAATGTCTTAATTGTAAATCTTATTCCAGATGAGAATTTAAACGCTCTGCTACACCAACTGAAGAATCCTGCCGTCAGACATATCACGAAAATCCTTGTGACCACTCACTCCACATTTATCCATCAATTTCAATCTTTGTGCGAGGAGATTGTACAAAAAATCCAAGAAGCAACTTCTAATATTGAATACTTACAAGTCATCAAACAACCTTGTGCTATTTTGGAGTGTGTAATCGACCCTGACGAAATCCCAAACCATGTTTCAAAGATAATGAATCTATTCAGATTTATATGGCTGGAATCTCCATACTATAACTCTGAAGCAAGAATAACCAATTTGTTCAAAGCGTTGAGCAACCAAATAATAATCCTATGCAAGACGTACATAAAACTTGAAGATCTTTTCGAAGATGGCTTGACAAAGAAGGCGTTGGGTGAATTTACCAAATGTATAGATTGCTGTAAGAAATACAGGGAGATTTATGACATCATTGCTGAGGCTCATAATGATATACAACCAGGCAGTTGGGATTTGGATACGGGATCCATTTTCAATTACATTGACTCATATGTACAAAGATGTTTCGATATGTTGGATGTATGCAACTGTATGATCATATTTGGGAGGTAGGCACAGACACGCATTCTTTCCGAGTTAACAATTTGGCGGCTACTTATAACGAATTTTCTATAAAACAGGATAGACGAAATGGAAGTAGTTAACAAACCAATGTTTGCTGGTTCTCATGGCGACGCGTTTGAAGAGAAATGCGACCAAATAGAGCACATGTTCTTCGACGCTCTGGACAATATCAGGAGAGTATCTCATACCATACTCGATGTACAGGCACCGTCCTGGTACGACGATATATTGCACTTCAGGACTGTTATCAAAGATGTAGAAGTAAGATTTCACATTATTTTTAAGCTTTAAAACACTATAATGTTACATTACATTAACTGGTACGTTAATGGAATGTAACATTATTAGACCTGGTGCGGTCTCTTCGAGCACAAAAATGTTAAAGCAATACTAACTTGAGATTTCATGGACCAGAAAAACTTTGTATTAATATGATTTGAGTAAACTAATGGATAATTAACATTCTATGATGACATTCTCCGCCTATCTCCATCTGGAATGGCCTCCCTAAACGAGGCCTATCCCAAAAGTATGACATGCATTGGTTCATACTTATAATATTGTTGGTGTTTCCAGATAATAATAGAAAACCTTGTAGAAACAGTGTTTGAAGACGTGAACCACGTAGAAGAAGCCGTGGTGGCTTTGTTTTCTTTGCATAACTATTCCAAGCGTAAGAATTTGAAACGAGTCTTCAAGCGAAAAACAGCCGAAGTGAGTTTTTTTGTGTGGATTTGATATAATTTTTTGTTTGTTTTTGGTACACGGCACGTTTCATTGCCATAAAAACACTACGAAAAGAAGTCTAAAAGAATATCATAATTATGCCTACATATTATATACAACCTACATGCAGGAGGGTATAGGGTTAAGAACACGTGAAGCTTGACAGTTAAGACTTAATTCCAACTCTATGCCGCTTACGATAAAAACGGTCCAAAGTAAATGTCAAGCTTGATGAGCTCTTGACTGTACAAGTTTAGTTCTATGTCCATTACGTAGATACCAAGGTGACTTTCAGGTGTGGGCAATGTTTAGCGATGAAATCCAAGAAACGAAGAAAGACATGGTGGCTAACAGAAGTCAATATCCAGCTGACCTGCCATCCTTTGCTGGTAGAGGAGTTGTAATGAGAATGAGGAAGAACAGACTCATTTATTTAAAAAAGGTATATTGGTAGATGTAATGAAATATATAGCTAATGCCAAGACTGTGCAATGAAAATGTTACTTATATCTACTCATATTAAGGCCATATCAATCTAAAGGCCATAGGCACATGTATCATAATATAGCGTTAGGAAATGAATAACTACTTGATACTGAATAGTACATACAATATGCTTCACGCCTTTTTCTTCATTGGGGTACGCAGAGACAACGCTCTTCCTGAAACTGAGTAATGTTTGGAGTAAATATTCGAAACAGTACGAGGAACAGTGTAAGAAATAAGAAAGCGTTGAAGTATGACAGAGGACTAGTATGAAAGAGGACTAGTATGAGAGAGGAGGAGAAGGAGAAGGTGACGAAGATAGAAAAGGCAGTTACAGAGCTAATATGGACGGAAATGAGGAATGGTCGATCTCGGTTTCAAAAAAGGTAGAAGAAGCACTGGAAACGAAAGAGGTGGTAAGCCGAGAGCGTAACAATGGAGTTCATAGTCAATCCACCTATCCAAGCAATTGATTGAGATGATTATCAAATATGATAAGTTTCTATCGAAAGATAAAACGAAATGGTGGAGAATTAAGACTGTGAAAGTCAAGATGAATGGAATAGAAATAATATCTATAGCTGACGCTTTTCAGATAATGACCGAGGCATCAGTGTGGTTAATGCCTTGCAGCAATTCCGAAGACGTGATTATGCACTGCAACAGGCTCACGGGCGCCATTGATGTTGGGGTCAGAGAGCTGTTCATCTCTTGGACGGTATGTGTTATGATAAATCCAATCAAAGAATCCATAACTCCTGACAATCATACGATCTGCACTCTAACAGCACCGGATCAGAGGTTGGATGCACTCGGCGTGACTGGCAGGCAGACAGAAATAAAATAATAATTATAATTGCAACCTAATAAAAAAATGTTAGTTCTTTTTTAATAATGAGCAATTTTTTTTTTAACCATTAAGCACAATTTCGACGAGAAATGCGGCGCAGGACTAAACAGAACTCTAATGAGGAAAAGCGTAGCGAATCCAGGTCTAATGGAATGCAACATTGATGTGTAAGTGTGTAATTTATTAGTTAGATGAAGTTAATTGTACCAGAAGTCACAAGAAGAACCACAATTTGTCATACAAATATTTTAAGTGCTCGTTAGCTATATAACAACACGGTGAACTCATAGTAGAGGCACTGATACATTGTAATGCTGGCACACCTTTCAACTGATCAGTGAGTCGTCATCGTACATAGTGATGAAGTTATTCCTCGAGTCAGAAATGTCGGCCGCAACGTACAAAGTAGTTCGAAAAATATTACCTCCTTTATTAAACAACGTTTCATGTTTTACAGGAACATTTTGGACCTTTGCAAAGAAGCAGCACACTGGGAGAATCTTGGTTTAGACATACCCGCTCATGCTTATGCGGTAAAATGACTTCATTTTATTAATATCGTGTGTTTAATATTTAAATAAGAAACTTATTAGCGCATTAAATAATTAGAATACCTCTACGTACAATCACAAACAATTAAAAAACTACCCACAAAATCCAATTTCCTTGGAGCGTTGTCTTGATCGACGAAGAGTTCATTTTGCACTAAAATGTTTCGATTATAAACAATAAACAATAAACACTGTAAATTGCTAGGACTGACTCCATTACGAATTGGTGCAATCAATTTTTATTATATTTCGTCCATTATTGCGGTACTCTGTAATTCTGTGATTATCGCGCGACATCGAGTATATAACCAGAAATAGAGACGAAATAAAGGCCATTCATCCCTGGCAACTCATCAGTCAAATGGTACAGTACAATGAGCAATACCGGAACTGTGTGCCAACTCGAACTCGCCAAAATGCAAAAAGATGCTTCGCAGCTCGATACTTCATTCGAATATTTTTTTTCCCAATCCAATAATTTGCCACTAATTCTTAACACGTTCACGGACAGTGAGTCACCCACTTTGGACATTAAAAAATTGTATGACATTTTTGGAAATGTCATAGCAGCTTCGTCATTATCACGCTAATATCACTGACTGTGACACTAGACGCTGTAACATTCCATAACATTTGACTGCTATAGCACTTACGCCGATCGACACAAAGTGACAAAAGGGTGTCAGCGCGCGAAAATCACTTTACTTACACCTAAAAACTCTCTCTAACTATATATATAATCTAACCTAAAATACATCTAAAAATCTCATAAAAAGACGGATTCTATAGCATTTGTATCATAATTGAGGAGATGGCTTAACAAATTTTGTTTGTGCGCAAAAATCAACGTATACGACAGTAAGCGTCTTTGACTGAGTATTAAATGTGATGTAAAGCCTGACCAATACTAATTTACTATGGTAAAGCGTATTCTTCAGCATACTTTGCCCAAGAAAGGGAGACAAACTTCGCACACTATAGCATTCGTGTCACAGTGCAGTAGGCAAATGCAAATGCTACAGTATTGCTGTCCGTGAACGTGTTAATGGCATAAATAGGTATACTTATTGTATTATAGGTATTTGCAAAAGCTAAGAACATATACTACGTTTACGAGAGCGTACTGGCAGTTGTCAAAGGTTACAACAAGATTTTGGACTCACTTTCTGAAGAGGAAAGACTTCTGTTCAAACCGTTAATTACCGTAAGCTCTATAAATTAAATCACCAATAATAATTATCACTTATACTTTATCTTCCAATACATGATGACTTAGAATATTTTCACTTAAAGTAAACCTGATCATAAATTAGAATCATAGTTACACATACCATAGATTTAGAATATACTAGCGTATAGACGAACATGTACATAGCAACGTAGCAACGCCCATGTATACCGATTTTGATATGATGATCACATGTTTACCCCTTACGACTGTGGAAGAAACTCAAAATCAGCTTTCAGTCTGTTTAATCTATTTTACGCTCTAGTATATTCTAAGTCTATGGTGAAGCCACTAACTTAGGCACATATCTAGATGTTCATTCATTTCAGCCTCTTCCACCATTTCAAGGCAACAAGGACATGGCACTTTGGTACCTGTCGCATTCAAAGTTAACGATTCATCGAAAACATCATCATCAATTACAATAGTCTCAATTACAGAACTAGTAGATGCTCCTTCTTCGGGTATAGTTATATTATTCTCGAAAAACGCCAAACATTCGTCCAAATGCTGTGCAAGTGGTTTTTCTATTATTTCACCACAGCACGCACATTTAGTTATAATTATATTACCTTTACTAGCACCAGGTTCAACACCAATGAAAGGCTTTTGGAATTCGTTTTCTACATCGTCTAACGATGTTGCATCCCCTACATTGTGAAATGTGAGTTCAGGTTTGACGTCCTGTATTCCATTATAAAGTTCTTTCTTTGTTTGAAATACTGGTATAAATGGCCGGTTCCCAGCTTCTTTCTCCTCATTCAGACTAAATGGCTTATCGCTTTGCGCAGTTGATATGGAAGCTTCACCACCAGCAAATTCTTGGTTTGTTTCATTACAAATGTTTTCTATAATCCCTTTATTCAAACATTCATCTAAATGTCTATTTATTTCTTGACTGCTAACTAGTGCATTACATATAGGACAGTTTACGGATTTAATAATATCCACCGCATTCTTATCATCTGCTACATTTGTATCTGTAGCCCGAGTTTTTGACTCATTACTTACAGCTATGAGCTTCTGACTATCACCAGTGCGTTCAGATATCTTAAAATTGCTTCCATATAAATCTTTCAAAACAGACGTGGCTTTAAAGTAATCATCAATTTTTTTCATTTTTGCTGGAGGCGATTTCATTATGCAATTAGCTGTGTGGTAAGTTTGAACTGATATATAAAGAGGGCTCTTAATTGGAGTGTTTATTATTTTGTTAATTAATTGTTTGCCTTTATTAACGTCGACGTTTTCATCAAGTGGCAATGCCTCTGGCAATGCTACTGGCAATTGTTTTTTAGCCCAGACACTTCTAACAGTTTCCGCAACTTGGTCCTTTTTATCAGGTGTACAAGTAACATCGAACTGTTTTTTACTCCAAACATTTCTAACTTCTTCGACAACATTAGATGAGTTTATTCTTCTTTCTACGCCAGCAACCATATGTCCTTTGCCTTCAAACAAAACTGGAGGTTTCTTACATTGTGGGTTGAACACAGGTTCCCTTTTGGGAATCACTAATGTGTTACTAGATTTAGGCTTGGTCTTAACAGTAGTACTGTTAGAATCTTTTAATACAGGTTTAGTGATATTATTGTTATTTGTTTTATTGTTAGTGGTGATATACTTTGTGATATCTGCATTGGTCTTTGTGGTGGACTTTGTGGATTTCTTTGCTTTTTTACTAGGTTCGTTGATTTTAACAAAAGTGCCTCCACATTGCCTTCTATGGTCTTCCCACCAAAAATCTCTGGGGCCTGGTGCCCGGTTTGAAGATCGACGAACAATGCCAAAACGAGGCCTTCTTGTTTGACAAACTCCATTACATCGCCACCAATGCGTTTGATACAATTTTACCTGTAATGTGAAATAATACATTATTCAATTATCCTTTGAAGCACAATATTAGATAAAAGGGTAGATAGATATCTGAATGCCGTGGCAGTTTGTTTGTGGGTATATGTGTTATATACTTGAATGGGTATGTGAAAAACCATTTTTCTTACCTCATCATGAAAATCATGATAAATGGTAATATTCAACCCAGATATCTTGTTGATTCTAAACATATGTTCCTTGAAATTCGGACCATGGCCATCTCTATCTTGATCTCGGCATGTAACAAAGAGATATGCGTGTATCATCTCGTGAAGTAGAGTCTCCACTACATCTTTCCGAGGACGCAGCTTTAGTAAGGGCTCGCTAAGGGCTATATCTACAAATCCACTTCTCAGTTCATATCTGTAAGAATCAAAGAAAAAAATGATATTTTTTATTATTGCCACAGCTGCATAAAACTGAAAATTACAGAAAACTGTGATTTTACTAATTGATACTAATCCTAATATAAATTGATAATATGGTGTTCATTCAGATATGTAACGACTGTCCCTGTGTCTACTGAATTACCAGAACTTTTTACAACCTTATTCTTTAATGTGTTTTTAAATTTAATTTTAAGCAGTTGTCATGTATAATGAAATAATATTTAGTACAATCAATCTTCAAGATTTGATCTTTGATATTCAGGATTATGGAATACTACTGATCTTCTACATTTACAATCACACAGAGTGTATGTATTTTTTTATGTTGCATAAAAAAAGGGAAAACTTATAATTTTTAGAAGTTTAATGTAGACTAAAGACAAATTGAAATACTTTGACTATGTAATTATAAAAATTTTGTCAATTTTGTGTTTGTTGAAAGAAAGAGTAACTTTCTTTAAACTTGACCAAATAATATTAATTTATATTTTATAACTCGCTAACACTGCTAATAATATTACCAACTACTTGAGATGTAAGCTTTTTATAGTTATGGGAAAGCTTTATTATCACTAGATTATAAGGAAATTGCCAAAAAATTGCCTGTCTTGGCCTAAAGTTTTGAGCACCAGAATTCCAAAAATAAAATACTGCAGAAAACAATAACACTAATACCTATAAAACACTGGTGACAATAAAATTTGTCAGTTAGTGATATTGTTTCAATATGCCTAAAAAACCAAATAAGGCTTTCACATGAACAAGGAAAATTGCAAGGTAGAGATTTCTTAAACTGTTGTGGGAGAAATTGAGCAATAACTTCGCTATTTATAAAACACGTGGCGCACGTGCGCCTAAATTAGATTGATACAATGATTTCATATATACAACACAATATCTACATGACGCATTCCTTGATCGTGATCAACACGAACCCCAAGAGGTACACTGTCAAAAACGCCGATTTGTGCTACATGCTATTTAAACGATCGCCGCTACTGGATCCTATAATAAAAGAGAATGCAAATGTATACAAATGCAATAACTTACTGACTTGTCAATCGAAATAAAGGAACCAATTACTGTTCGTACAAAGAAAGCTTGTAAAAGCTGGTCAGAAAAAATACTTTTAAGAAACTCTGTCCCTCAGAAAGCAACAAAACAGCTAGTTTGAACGCACTTTAAAATACCAGAGTTTAACAGAAGCAAATTGGTGTATGGTGTGGTCAGATGGGTCAAACTATGAGGTGAGTTAGTAAATTTCATATTGTAATGATGTGAATTGAAAACAAAAACTCATCTAGACAGAAATATTTTAGTTCACCGATGTCACAATTTTTTTCTATATTTCACATTTTTTTGTATACCTGGTGTCACTTTTGTGCACCACCTGACAGGTGAAGAATTTAGACGAGACTGGGTTTTTGTGTGAGGACTGCATCTGTGTCGCTGCCCTAATTTTCAACACTTTTTGGCGAATTCCAGTAGGTTGTCGCCCCATGTCAGGAATCTGCCAGCACTATGGCATGGTATTGAGAAACTTACATTGAATATCTGTAGTACCCTGACCAGACTCTGGACATGAACCCATATTAGAGGATTGATTAAAGCACAAAATCAGGCACCACACAAGAAACAATGCTTGCACCAAAAATGGAATATGTATTAATGTCCTGAAAACTGTAAAAAACTTGTCAGCTCTCTACTCTATAGAAATTATGCTGTAGCTTTCTTTTTTTAATTTATTTTATTATCTTCATTCAAGTCCTTCAAATTAAATGTTACAGATAATAAATAAGCCAAAAGGTGTACCGAGCGTTATTGGTTTTACTAGTTACAATTTAATAGTAATATTGTATGACTTGTTACCATTTATACCAAACCATCATTCATTTATATCGGCCAACTAAAGCACATAAGTCAAATTTGTTGATTTCAACTAATATTTTAATGGCATACTTTTGAATTTTCTCTTCACAACTTGTAACATGAAAGCCTTCATATACAAGTGATTTCTTTGTTTTGATTTATTTTTATAACACCAAGTGACGGGTGGAACAAGTCGTACACCTGATAAGCTACACTCCTGTCCATAAAAGTTACAATGCCACTCAAAAGCTTTAAATCGCAAAGATCTGAGGAGCACTGCCACTGTGCCGATCACCCTGAGACATAAGTTGACAAGTCCCATGATTGATTGTCACGATGATCTTATCAATTCTTCACTACCCTCTTCGTGTTTAAATTAATCATTAACAACATAAACTTACACTACTGAATAATTGTTTTGATCAGATTACTTTTGTCCTTACCTATGGTTGTCTCCGAGCAGGTAATGTAAACAGTACTGTGTTTCGGCTTCGAAGAGTAACTGTGCCGGTTGAAAATACAAGCACACAAGATTTGTCAACTTGCGTCTCAGAGTGATTGCCGCAGTGGCAGTGCCCCTCAGATCTTTGCGATTTAAAGCTCTGAGTGGCCCTGCTAGTGCTGTGGGTAGGTGTGTCGCTTAACTCCAGGTACACAACTTGTACTTCCCCTTCCTTGGTATCATAAAAGTCCGAAATGTCGGATAATGAAGACAAATGGTCCCCTATACGAGGGCCATTGTAAATTGTTCCGTATGGAACAACAAACTTTATTTGTTGTTATATTAAAAAAAAAAAGCATTTTTTTTTGCTTTGTTTTTACATAGGTTAATGTTTAAAATGCTTGGTTTGCATGAGCAATGCCACAACATACATTTTGCACTAACGGATTTTTTTTATGTAATAAAGGTAGGTAATACAAACATTTTGGGAAAAAAAATAGTTAATACTACTTACGAGCATGTTCCAGCGCAAGAATACATCCTTTTGCTCCATCTTACAATAGCCCTACTGGCTAATTTTTCCCAGAAAAATAATTTATCGAAATGAATGAACATTGCGTGCACATTTGGTGTTGGATCTATCAATTCTAACTCAGGATCACCTAGATTCATTTTTGTAATATTTATTTAAACTATTTATGTATACTATAAGATTAATTTTTTTTGCAGATCATGCTTATTAATAAAATAATAATTACTTTCTAAAATAATCTCCAAGTTGACGAAAATTTTTTGAATGACAGTGACTGTATTGCCATTTAAAAAAAAATTCAAAGTCCCTTGAAAATCTGAACAATTTTCCAGATTTGGGGAAAAATATTCCCCGAAAATCCGCTTGATGATATCCTTACGACTATTTTTCATACTTGCGACACACGCTGTTCTCCAAAGTGTAGTTATAATTTTCTACTTGTCTAATTTTTTTATTTTTTATTTAACCATCCACTTTTTTTTATTAATAGTGTTGGCTTGGATACAAAAACTATGAGGCATGTCTTCATTTAATTATCGGGATTCTTAGTAATTCTTTCCATTGTAGTTCAAATTCTAATACATTGTTTGGTGGTTTTTAAATAGTCTTTTAAGCGGCGGGAGTCAATAAATCACATTATCTTCTATCAGTTTGAACAAAAATTCTGAATTCGTAAATATTGGAATTTTCAGGATAAAATCTTTTGTAAAATTTAAAATAAGGAATATAGTTCTAACTTTCTTCATCACTGTTTCTTTTTTCGTTTTTTCTTCATAATATACTTAAAATACAAATGTTTTTTTGACAATTTGATTGACAGATTACGCATGATTTTTATTTCTGAAAAGTATTTCGGATCAAAAAGACATGAAAATTATATCATCAAGTTTTTGGTGCTAAAGTCACAAAAAACCCCCTAGATCTAACGACGAAGTTGCTAAAACGGTAACATTGAAATTTTTTTTGTTCATTTTATGACTTTGGATTCAAGATCTTGAGTCGAATTATTACAGAAAACACTTATTATAAATGTAATAATGTAAAACATTATTTGTCTGTCGGGTAAATTGAGCAACAGCTTAATTCCCCAATGTGGTCCCAGTGAGCGCTGAAGAGCCCTAGGTGGGGCCTCGGAAGCAATTAATAGCGGGGGTTGATACTGTTCAGGGCGTGCTACCTCATTTGAAAAAAATTACCTGAATTATTTGTATAACCTTAAACTACACGACAATTTTTTTTTTTTAATTTATTTTCCAAAACAAAAATATACATTGGTAGGTGAATATTTGAAGATGTACATATTGGACGTCAGAAAAAATAAACTAAATATTGACTCAATTATGAAGGTTTATTGGTTTACCGTAAAGCTTGTGGTACTAATATAATAAAAAAAAGGAAGGCCCACTTTTTACACTATTATATGGGTATAATATATGAGTTTTAAATTTTCTACAAACGGTAATGAGAAATTATACAAATGGGAATGAGAATTCTAGAAATGGTAATTAGAATAGTTGAATGGTAAGGAGAAATTATGAATGGTAATGAGAAATAGATATAGATTTCCAATAAATATTACAGAGTGGTAATTAGTATCATAGTTCGGATAGGTTGCATAATATTTAATTATTGACGTTTTATTATATATATTTTTCAATAAGGTACTCAATAACAATAGTACTTAAAGTACAAATAATCATCTTGTGAAGGAACATAAAAACGAAACATAACTTGTCATTAAAATAATTTTTGGTAAAAACTTAACAAATCAGCTTATCAAACCTAGGTTATTCACCGTTAATTATTTTTTGGGAAATTGTGGGATTTCCCGAATCACATCCATAAAAACTAATAATACTATTAAGTATGACACTTAATTAACACAACAGACCTAGACCATTGATAAGTCATAGGAAGTGATCTACACCTAACACATATAAATCTGTGACGAAAAATGATTACTCAGTAAGACTCCATACAGGTAACATAGGAAATAATGATTAGTTATATCAAACAAAATACACAATTGTATAGGTCTACAAAACGAAATATCACAATAGATAATGATAAAGATTAACTAACATAGATTTTTAGAAAATTGCTCATCATACAATACTCTTAACTCTCTCTTAACTCTTATAAAAATTACAGATTCTTTGAAAATATCTCACTATCAGTGAACTACTTACTTACTAATTACTTATGAACTATGAGATCACTAAAATATATCATAATCTGAATCTGAATTTGCATCACTCTCAGGATTGGAAGGCGGGTTTAGGATAGCACAAGCTGCATTTGATGATTGAGGGTCGCCAAATAAATCAGTGATGTCATTGACATTTGACTGAAAGGACGAATTTCCAGAAAGGTTTATATTGTCGCTCCCGGAAAGGTTATATTCTTTAATCGTATTTTTGATTCTATCATCTTGTTTTAAATCACACAGCATTGTGACATTACATTCATCTTGAAATTTCTTTTTCAACAATTTTTTACTTAGTATTTTTATATTACTGGCCTTATCACTTGTAAGCTTGCAGGATCGATCAATTATTTTAGGCTCCAAGTGATTTTTATTGTCAGGCTTAATATCAGACAGTAATGTGACGTTATTTTCATTGGTTATTTTCTTTAAAAGGACATTACTAATAACTTTGACTTTACTAATTCCTTTTATTTTTGTAGAATCATCGAGGTCAAAAGTCTTGTTTGGGTCCAGTTCTTTATCCTGATCTAATTCTGTTGATGTTGTAGTTGTAGCCATCTTAATGTTTTCTGATTTCTTCTTTCGCGGAACATTACTGTTGATATTATCTTTATTAACGCCATCTGCTGTTTTATATTTTGAACGTGTATTGTTTTGTTTATTTGTTTCTCCTTTATCACTTTCGTTTTCTTTGTTGTCAATTTCGTCACGGTAACATAGCTCTCCAACAAACTTAGTGTGTGTACAGTCCGAGTTCAGGCAAATAAAGCAACTAGCCTCCCTAAATATTAGAAGCTCCGATTCTTTTTGCCACAAAACTTGATGAACTTTCATTGTGCCTTGTAACAGTAACAGTTTATCTGACGGTATAAGCAAATCTTTTTCTGCGATTTCATATTCATGAACTGTGACTATTTTAATATTCTGTGTATTTTTTGTGACTACGTCCAAAAATGCGTCCATTGATGCCACGTCTTTACCTTGTGCCACAGCGGCATCAGCAGTGCGCTTGAGAACTGCTCCAACTCCGTCAGCTGCGCCTTTGCTATGAGCAGATTCAAAGTAATTCCAAGTTATAAGCTTTAACCTGTGGAAGTACCAATACATCTTTGCAATAGCGTAAAACATCGTTTTATTCCTATATTGGCTGCTGGGTGAATCTGACAAAAAATGCAAATTGTCAATGTCCTTATTGACTGTTTCAACAAACTCTAGCAGAGGAACAATGTGCGCCCATACGGCAGCTGAATCATGACGCTTACTTTCACTAACCGTACAGAAAGATTTGCTTGTCACCGTGTTTGTACTATCTCTGTAATATATTACCGCAGTATGAAGTGTCAATTCTTGTCTGCTTCCCCCAAAATGAAACGATTGTACTTCAGACTCATATTTCATAGCGTAGTTCTCGCTAAAATCTATATGAATTATAGCTTCGGTTTCTTTCAAATTTTGTTTCAATTCTTTTATAGCATGGAACTGCCATCTCCTTATGCCTTCATGTTTTAAAAATATTGGTATCATTTGCTCCAAGTCTCTAATAGCTTCAGTTGGTAACTTTGTAAGTGTGATTTTCGCTATAATCCTTTTTTGTTGTTCTTTGCCTTTAGTTATATAAGTGGACATCTTGTTTTCCCATTTTTTATATGCTATGGAGTCATTGTTGTCGAATTCTTGATAACTGACCACTTTATCTTTGCATGCACCACATCTTTTGATTAAACATTCTAGTTTTGGACAACATAGGCTGTTAATTAAGTCGTTTGGATTAGACTCCTTTATAATTTTCCTTTTTTTCAATGCGGAGATCAATAGCATTATGTTTGCGTGAATTTTGCATACGCAAGTGTCTCTGTCTTGCACGTCTGGTATAAGTACCCAGAAGGGCCTATTCTTACAAAAGTAAGAATAACTTATTTTTCCGTATTCATCCTCATATATTTTGTGTAGATTTTTTAAATTGTCATTTAAATATTTTTTTGTTTTCTTTCTTTTTTTTTTCGTAATAAATTCTTTTTTGCCTGCCGTAGCTCTTGATATATCATCTCGTTCAAAAAAACATTGTAAGTCCATTTTTATTTTTTCGAAATTTTGTTTTTGGTCATTTTTATTGACGTTCTTTGGTCTGAGTCGAAAATTTGTGGTATCAGATAGTACTTTATACTTTTTCATAATCTTCTGATTGCTAAGAAGAGTGTCACTAAAATGTCTCTTACCTTTTTTCGTAGTATTCTCCTTGTAATTCAATTCTAATGTTTCTTTCATAGCTTCTGCAAACAGAATTTTCTTCTTAGCTTCCTCTACCCTTGTTTTATCTTTTAACAATATCTTAGCTTTGGTATATGGACTCTGCAATCGTTTTTTCAGTCTTAAAATCATTTTTCTGTACGCCTCATTCTTTTGTTTCAGTAATGTTGTTTCTTGATTGTATTTATGGGTTTGTTTTATTAACGTGTATTTCAATTTTCTTATTTTTTCCCTCAATTGAACCATTTTCTCTTTATGACTCAATAAAGTCGGTGGCTGTGGATCATTCTGGCAATTTTCATTATATCTGTTGAGTACATGATCTTCTCTAGGTTGATCCTCTTCATCACTAATTTCCGGTGTGTTGTCATTCATATGTTGAACTTCCTTTTTCTCCATCTTCTTTTTTTCATAATGCTTTTTAAAATTTTCTCTCCATTTTTGTCTTTGAACTCTTTTTGCTTTAGGGGTTAATTCTCCTATAGGCAAAATTTTTTTCTGCTCTTTACGCGCTTTGTATCTTTGCCTTTCCTTTTCTTTTTCCAAAGCATACAACATAGGATCGGCTTTAATTTTGGCATATCTAATCCTACGTGCTGTTTTTGCTTTCTCCAGTATTTCTTCCTTACTTAGCTTATTTTTTTTACGAGGCATGATCCATCTATCTGAAAGACATAATTACGTGATCAATGTTTTTTCTCCGTATATATGTAATTTAGACATAGAGATTATTATAATTTAGATATATAATTTAGTATCTATAGTATTAAGTTTCGCATAGTAATTACGTGATCAATGGTTTTTTCTCCGTATATACGAGTATGTGATTTAGACTTAGAATTTATTATAATTTACACTTATACACTTATTTAGATATATAGTTTAGTATTTAGGGTATAGTTTCGTTTAGTAATTAAAAATAGACCACTCACTTTTACACTTTATCAGATTTTATACTTTTTCATATTCTAGTGAGTTGTCTGCTTTTAATTGCTAAGCTTAAAATAAAAAACTTGGTACAATTACTCATTCCCATTTGAAATTTCTCACTACCGTTTGTCAAAATCGAATGGTAAAAAATGGTAATTATGAAAATGGTAATGAGATATTGACTATTTTCCGCCCCATATTTATTATTAAGGGAACTATGTATAATAAAAGTGCATCAAGCCAAAAACGACTTAATAATACACCATTTAGTCCGTTTATATAATAAAAACTGTAAACATACATACCTGTAGAACGTCGAATGGTGTGGAGTTTTTTTTTGACAAAAGACACTTTTTACCTAAACTTTGCGAAATATTTCGTAACCGAATTTCTGAGCGGACGTGTGGCTGGCGCGGCTACTTCGCACGAACTGAGACCAAGGCGCTGCTTTGACAGCTAGCCGCCAAATATGGCGGTTAATATTCTTTTATCTTACGTTCAATTTTAAAAATGGTAGTGAGTGGGGATCCTTGGGACAATTTTTAATGCTATCACAAAGGACTTAAAAATGTTCTTTCAGTAGTGTAATTTCGGAGTATACTGTACACACAATTATTTTACACAAATAACAGCAAAAAATTACGATCTTCAGCATAAAAGTTAAATATTTTTACGTTTGACTGTTTAAAATTGGGATTTGGGACATGAATGGTAATGAGATTTAGCGATCGTTTGAATTTATTTTGCATACTTATAATTAAAATACATAAATGTTATGTATTGGCCACAATAGTACAACACCCACTTGTTGCAGAAAAAATATAATTAGTCTAATTTAGAACTTTTTAAATGGTTCTTTACTGATCGCCGCGTAATATGTACATCTTCAAATATTCACCCTGGATCCCTATAATGGGTTTATATGTAGGAGGCTTCAGTCGCTGTCTTGCACAGATTTATGCGCTATGTCTGGCTATTAGTTACTGTATACAAATTAAAAATAAATGACTTAAGCTTACTTTTACATTTGGCTGCATTACTACAATTAACTAGTTTTTGTACAAGGTCCTTGGGTAAGTGGTTTAGCGTGTAAGGGAGCACATATTCCCTGCCTCTTTGACCATATACATTTTTAAATTGTGGTAAAAAAAAAAAAAAAAAAAAAAAAGGTCATAACGAGGCATGTATGACAAATTACGCAAATTACCTGGTCTTTTTCTTTCTTCAATATATTACGTAATTTTATTCTTAGGATTTTTGTATTATGTTGATATAAAAAAAGTGTTTTCATTTATTTTTTGTGGTGGTGAGCATGGATTTTTTTAAATCTTGTGTGGGCGGTGAACCAAAAAGTTTGGGAGCCTATGGCTTAGACGCTTAGGCTCAACTCACACTGGCGCAGAGTTGAAGCGCCGCGTTGCGTCCTGTTTTTCAACTACAACGCTTGGCGACACGCGTCGAGGTGCGACGACACTCGCATTAGTGCGCCAAGTTCACAGTGTGGTCGGCGTATGACGCCTCCCTGCGTTCAAGAGACGCGCATCGACGCGCGAAGCCGCTCGACTGCATCCAAGCGATTCGCCCGTTTTCATATTTGCATAACACAAATTTGTGCCATAATAATGGGAGAATAGAGATGAATATACAATAGGCGAAAAACATGACGCGTCTTACTCTGCGCCAGTGTGAGTTGAGCTTTAGAGCAACAGTGTAACTTCGCAATTTAGAAAACACGTGACGCGCGCACGTGCGCACGTGCGCCTGTGACTAGGTTTTTAAACTCCCGACGCAAAAAGAAGGAAGTTTGAAGCCTTTGACAACTTTTAGTAGCCGTAGAGCTCCTTGTGAAAGAGTTCGTCCAGGGAAGTACTGCCACCTCACCTATTTCTGCCGCCAAGCAGTAATGTCAGCATAACTGTGTTCCGGTTTTGAAGGGTAAGGGTGCTGGTGAAATTATAGGCACATGGGACTTGTCGACTTATGTCTTAGGGTGACGAACGCAGTGGCAATGCTCATCAGATCTTTGCGATTTAAAGCTCTGAATGATTCGGCACTCATTGCGAAACAGTAATTAATTAATATTTGGTGGTTTTAACTCTGTCGCTCCTTGTAGCTATATCTATACATGTATCTATGTATGTGGAGAACCTTTTTCCGACTGTTGCTAATAAGTAATGAATGCTCATTCGAAACCGAAAATTAGTAGATTAGTAATTTGCCATTCGAATGACGGATTAGTAAAGTCGAAAATCAAAATCATTCACAATCGCGTATCGCTACGCTACAGCCACTTCATTACTAATTTCGTACAATATTTAGAAACACAGCTGCATCGCCACAGTCACGCCACTTTTGCAGACTAGGTGTTGTACGAAAAATAGTAGGTAGTCGCGCGGCTGCAGCGCCACTGCACCGCTTCTATAAGCGTATTTGAAGGTGTCTTAAGTGTTAGTAGAGTCTGGTAAACGAAAGTTGAGACAGAATAGCGGCAATATCATAAAAGTTGCGTGTTGGAACCCAGTTTAAACTGCGAAAAAACTCACTTGACGCTTGAAAAAATTTTTACTATCCCTGTGTATATTATGCACGGAGCATGCTTCCTGTGGTAATATTTTCTTGCCAAAAATGAAAACGCGGACAAAACTACACAGGTGGAATGATCGACGGTGCTTATCGATGAAATTTATCGATACCTCCTACGTAAGTTGTTGCAAGTCAAAATACTTTTTGGGTTAAATGGTGGGTTAGGGGGTGGGTCACTCACCCGCTCACCCACCCCTAACTCACCCCCTAACCCAACCCCCAACCCACCCCATAACTCAACCACAACCCATCGTGCGTGCGGCACGTGCTATCACATAACAGACTGAGTTACTTACTCTCTTGTTATTTCTTTCTCAAACGCAAGCCGGACGTCCTATCAATCCGTGCGCAGCACGTTTGAGAGATGTTTGGTGTTCACCAGAATTGTATTACCGTCAAGGTAGCAGAGCTCCTTCTGATTATGGACGGCAAGTGTAAGACTAATGGAGTGATATGAACATTTAGTTTACCGAGTGTCGAACAGTTTTACGCAAAAACCGTCGCCGCTTTCAAACTTGTGAAGTTAAATATGTACTAATTTAGAAAGTTGATACGAGAACACCAACTGACCATAATATACTTCATTATGCTATCTACAATATCGTTACAAAAATTCGCTTCCATTCCGTTCCGTAGTAGAAGAGTAAAACAAATCATTTTGTTTATTTAATATGAATCTAAATAATAAACACAGGAATTAAACTTGAAAATGTAGCCATCGTTTAGAGAAACCTACCATTACGGTAGAAAACTATATACTTGGTTATTTTTGAACAGGCGTGCGAGAAAAAGGTGCAGCCAGGCATATTCAAGTTAACATATACATCCAATTTATCAGATGCCTACATTGCTGACTGTGTTGTACAAATTGGAGAGGTAAGATAATATTGGAGACAATTTTAACATCGCAGGACTTTATTACTAACTACATAAACAAAAATTTTTATTCCATGACTTAACATAATAAATTTATCAAAAATATATTAGTTTTTATGGTACAGAACGTTTTAAATGTGTATTTTGGTAGTAAGATAGTAAGTTCGAAGGTGCAAGCGTCTCCTTCTCTGTGGGCGTTTACGTTGTGTGGGCTACGTTTTGCATCGGACTGGTATGGAAAAAAGTTGTTTACGATGCGTTATTTGTAATATAGTCCTGCAAGGTTGTTAAATATTTAAAAAATAAGCCTGTGTACATAATATATGCTGCTTGTTCGATAAAGATTTATTATTATAGGTACTAGGTGGAAAGTTGATACTATATCGAACCGCACGCAGGAGTCTTTTTAATTTTTCTTTTTTCATAGTACTACAGATTTACCTGAGCAAAATTGTTTAATTTGCTATATATCTTACAGATTTAACACGGCAACCTTTGACAGCAATTATCTCAGGTCACAGATCGCAATAATTTTTGTGTTATTATATATCATGTAACTGCGCATTTGACCTCCATCTCATCTGATGGAAAGTGACGATGAGGTCGACGATGGAGCATACACACCTAAATGATGCCTATTGACTCTCGCCTGGAAAAGACCCAAGTTATAGCGTTCAGGGAATAAGACTCTGCACGCAGGGAATTCCACTCTATAGCCGTTCGCCATATAAATGTGACAGAGTAATGCTACATGCAAATCCTTACTCCAAATTTGGTCTTCGTCACGCCCTGTAGGATTGTATTTTTTATGCAAGTTTCACATTTCTTTTGCATAAGGCTGAGGAAAAGTCGAGTAATTCAGTTCGTAGATTGGGCAATTGGAATGGATGCCAAAAATGATTCATTCCCTTCGGTCGGTAGCAAAATTGACCTGTTTCTTATGATTCTTAGCTTTTATTGAGCTACAAAATGTATGACATCTTGGATCACTATTATAATTTTTGATTTTTATTTTTCAGTTACAAGATTTTTTAACAACATATAAAACCTGCAACGTCAACTTGGTAAAAATAATGGAGAAAATTTGTGACACTCCCCTAGCAGAGTTTGATATTTACAACGTTTTCGATATAAAAGCTTTTAGACACACTGTGAGGACGATGCAAGGTTCAGCGTCTAATAAAATATTGGAAATGTACAAAGAAATCATTACATATTTAGTGATCGTGTACGAAGGATTTGAGGCACATATTCAAATGGTAACGTGATAATCTTATAATATTAAGTCTATAGTAAAACTCACGAAGTTAATTTGTAAATATTATATTTTATTATAGATGGCCGAGCATTGGATAAAATATGTACGCAGATATGATGCTTTGTTGGAAGACGCATTACGCTTATCCATTAAGTCAACTATGCAGAATATGTATAAACTAGTACACGGTGACGGTAAGTATTTGAGAGTTCTTTGTGAAAGAGTCCGTCCAGGGAAGTACTGCCACCTTACCTACTTCTGCCGCCAAGCAGTAATGTAAGCGTTATTTCATTTCGTTTGGAAGGATAAAGGCGGCTTCCCATGGTCCGTTGCCCGTTTCGCGGGTGCGCCGCGCGTTACTTGAAAACACACCGTGGAAAAAGGCCTGTTTGAATCTGCCACTGGTCGGTAACTTCAAAGGCGCGACACGAGAGTGCGCGCGGCCTATGCACTCGATACAAACCTGCGCGGACTCGGCAGTTTAGTTTACTACATTCTGATTTTCATTTCTATAGGTACTATGGCACCAGCACCTCTTATAAAGATGAATTTGATACTGTCCGGCAAAAATATAATTTATATTCCGCCCGAAAGTGAACTGCGTGATACATTTGATACTATACTGGATGAAATAGTCCATATTATGAGTACGATACCAAGAATTTATGAAAAGTTCACTCTACCCGCCGGAGGTTTGAAAAAATTTTGGGAAGTTATTTCGAATGACCCTGACTGCAACAAGTTACAATCATTAATTAACGAAGGTGAGTAAAATGTATATTTTAGATGTATATCTAGCTAGACACTTAGACCCGACGCCCAAGAGACGGCACGGGAGGGGATTTTTAGGTGCCGATGCCGAATACTAACATACCATGTATGATATTATAGTTGAAATTTCTATGGTAATCGTATAGTTACGAAAACAAATTTGCGGTAAGCTTGATTTACAGGGACCCTTACTCTATATTAGGGAAGTGTAATAAGACGGATTTAAGCCTTAATTTGGGCGAATTATATATACCTGTATCGAAAGATGACAGTACCTAAATGTGTGGTCTAAAGTGTCAATTTTCAACATTTTCAAAAATATGCTTATTATCACTTATGTGTTACAATAACTAAGTGACATGGATTTTTTAAATTATTTTTACCAGAACTGATATAACCTAGCCTCCCGCCCAGCCCCCGCTTAACGTTGAATTTTGGGACTATATTAGTATTCAAGACCGGCGCACTTACTAAATACCACGCCCATCGTAACTCGGGGTTCTTGGAATCCTTTCCTTGGGGTCCTTTAGTAGCAGGAGAGCGCCTTGTGACAGTGTTCGCCCAGGGAAGTACCTTACCTATTTCTGCGTCCAAGAAGTAATGTCAGCATTACTGTGTTCCACTTTGAAGGTTAAGGGTGCTGGTGAAATTACAGACACATAAGACTTGTCAACTTATGTCTCAGGGTGACGGGCGCAGTGGCAGTGCACTTCAGATCTTTGCGATTTAAAGCTCTGAGTGGTACTGCAACTGTTACGGAAAGGCGTGTAGCTTACCATCAGGCGCACGACTTGTTCGTCCCGTTACTTGAAATACATAGATATATATATATAGATACCGAGCAGGCAACCTCTGGAATGTCTCGGCAGCCTTCAGGATACTTTAACAAGTGTTTACGTTTAACGTTACGATTGATTTGAATAGAGGCTGGGCGTGAACACAATGTCGCGACGATATACTTCGGTGTTCCTAAGGATAGGTACCTACCGCTGTATATTTACCATCAGTGTGCGCTTGAACATAAGGATACCCAAGGATCTGTTGATGTAAATTCTTAACACGCTTTTGATCGTACATACTTAAGTGGAGGTAAAATAAGTCACTATTTCAGAGATTGAATACAATTTGGATCTCATTGTAAGTCACATTTCTATGTGGGATCCATATGCCCATATTTGGAAAGTGGATAAAGAAGAATTTCTGGTTCATTACCGCGAAGAAGGCCATATTGCTAACGATTTTGATAAATTAATTGTAAGCTACAGCGAGCTTGCAAACACTGTTCAAATACAAGAAACCACGAATCAGGTCAGTAGAAAATTGTCTTGTGGATTACATTTTGACTATTATTTAAAGTGGTAGCTTGTAATTGGTACATTTCATCTTTTTTCAGATACATTTCGTGACTCTGAATTCAAGTGAATTAAAGAAGTCTGTTATACAACATTGTCTGTTATGGCAAATAAAACTCGGTGAACTGCTTAGAACTATGGCAGAATTCGATATTGATGCTATTTATTCCTACGTCGAAAAAAGTAGTGAAGAAGCTATGAGGGTAAGACTACTATTAATTATAAAAGCTACAAAATATAAATATGAATTGTTAAATTCTAATAATTAGAAACTGATAATCTGTTTGTTTGGCAGATGCCAGCAACTCTGAGTGAATTAGCATCTGCTATATCGACATACGAGCGGTTGTTAGCTGAAGTACCAACAACAGAGAAAAAGTTTCCGCCGATTGGGGATCAAATGATAGTCCTAAGTAAGCCAAAAAGTTATCCAAATTATCAGCCTTTCAAAATACATTTTTACTGACCAATTACATTTTCTACGTACATTCATACCTTTTTGACATAAGATAGATCATGTTTTGAGTCCTGATTATTTTGATTCAATTCTAAAACGTTTGTTTAACCAGATAAATTTGACGTCGACCTAAGTCCCGAAATGGTCACCCGTCATGAAGAAATACCCAATATATGGGCTGAGTACTTAGTTCTTTTAGAAGAAGCTAAGAAAGCATTAGAATTAAACAAAGATAAATTCAAGACCGAACTCTTGGAACAAGCCGAGGTAAGTTACAAGTGCCACACATTTTATTTAAAAGTTTTCTTACACCAGTTCATTTTGTTTTCCTTATTTCTGAATTTTCTGCTAGCAATTTAAAGAAACTGCCAAAGAGTTTTGTGACGACTTTTACAAAAGTTGTCCAACGGCTTCGGAAGTCAGCGCTAAAGATGCTTTGTCCCAATTGAAGGCTTTCCGAGATCAATTGAACGCCTTGCGCGCTCAAGAACAAGCTATCAGAGATGGGCTTGCTGTGTTTAATTTGACGTAAATATTAATACCACTTAATATTATGACAAACTTTTATGATATATTTATAATTCCATAAGAAAAAAGAAGGGTAGATATGACATCTACCCCTCAGTTATTAAATACTTAAGTATAAACTGTGAACAAATTTTTATTATTGATTGTATCGGTACATATTTTCCTTAGGACGCCAGTGAACTTGGATCTACAAAAAATGGAAAAGGAACTTGAAAAATTAGAGGAAGTTTGGGGATTAGTTGGACAATGGGAAGATTCGTGGGATAAATACAAGTCTTTAACATTTTGGGAACTGGAAACCGATGAAATGGAAGAAAATGTTATGTTTCTCTTTAGGTATACATTTGAATTCCTAGATTATAAATATAGTGATGAGCCTATAGTGTTTAATTCCACTTTTTGCCAGTGGACCACCTATCTGGTTCACTTGGGTGGACCACGGATTCGGCCGGTAATTTTATTGAATGTTTTGCCTCGTCAAACCTTACCGAAAAGTCTATGCAGCAGCCATCTTATTTGAATACTATCGAATGCTTAGCTGAATTCGGCCCATGGTATTCAAGAAGATTCTTACCTATTTCTGCCGCTAAACAGTAACGTGACCATTACTGCCTTCCGGTTATGAAAGGTAAGGGCACTGGTGAAATTACAGGCACGTGGGACTTGGCAACTTATGTCTCAGGGTGACGGGCGCAGTGGCAGTGCCTCTCAGATCTTTGTGATTTAAAGCACTGAGTGGTACTGCAACTCTTGAACAGACATGTCACTTACTACCAAGTGGACGATTTGTTCTTCTCACCACTTAGTCTCACAAAAAAAGTAAACGACATGGGCCCAAAGAATGTATTAAATAACATTGTAATAAAAAAGTGTTTTTTATTTGTACCCAGAAATTTCAATCGTCTTTCACGACAGTTGAAAGAGAAAGGTTGGGACATTATTGACACCACTCGAGTGAAAGTTGATAATTTCCGCCGCACATTACCTTTAATTAATGATCTGAAGAATCCTTGTATGAGAGAAAGACACTGGGATAGAATTAAAAGCCTGGTTGGAGTGTAAGTTGATTGTTTGTATTTAGCTACTTACCTACTTAGGTTAAGCTATGCTGTAATTTCTTAAGCAAAATATTATAACGCGTAGCGCCTTCTGTCAAGGATACGAAGAATCGCATTCTTCGGCTCGCATTGCGGCTCGCCGTCAATAACGAGATGTTTGTAGAACGACAATTGCACAAGCTGTATTCTGGCTAGTGCAATTGCTCTGCCGGTGCGTTCTATAACAGAAATAAGTTCATTAAACAAAAATTCGTAATATATTTCTAACACAGTGACTTTGACCAAAACTCCGAAGATTTTAAACTAGAGCTGATCATGCGCCTGAACTTCCAAGCTTATGCCGACGATATAGCAGAGATTTCTAATGCTGCCACGATGGAATTAGCTATAGAGAACGGGCTGAAAGCAATCAGAGAAGTGTGGACCGCCACCACATTTGAAATGACACATCACAAAGGTGACATGTATAAAATTAAGACAGTTGAAGAAGTTACTCAGGTTTGTGTGAATCAGATTAAATGAAGAATATTTATTTCCCCCCGTCCCTGCGATACTTTCCTTTCCTTTGTAACTATTAGGGGTTAAAGTATGAAATTGCCGTTTTATTGCAATAG